CGTCACCCTGTCTTACACCTCTCTGCAATTGGATAGGTTTCGTACTCTGATTCTGTATTCGGATAGCCATCGTAGCCCTACTGTACAAGCACTTCAACACTTCGATATACCGACAGTCAACTTGGCACCGCTGAAGGGACTGCAGCACCGCCCAAATTTCGACGGAATCAAAGGCTTTCTCATAGTCCACATACGCCAGACATAGTGGCAAATTGTACTCTTCGGACTTCTGTACAATTTGCCGAAGGGTATGTATGTGGTCTATTGTGCTAAAGCCCTTTCGGAAACCGGCTTGTTCGGGAGGCTGGAAGTCGTCAAGTCTGCACGCGAGACGATTCGTAATGACTCTCGAAAACAGCACGTAGACGCGGCTCAGAAGGGAAATCGGTCTGTAGTTCTTCAAGAGAGCGTTGTCACCTTTCTTGAAGAACAAGACCACCGCACGCCTCCGGTGTAATGCCACCATGGAGGACGGAATTAAAGAGCTTCTGAAGGACTTCAAGTACCGGTCTTCCACCCGCTTTCAGAAGCTCCGCTGTAATTCCATCCTCGCCTGGGGCCTTACCGTTTTTAAGGTGCTGGAGAGCCATTCTAATCTCGCTCAGACTGACGTTCGGGATATCTTCGGAATAGTGTCGGATGAGACTCGCTCTTGGATCGTTACTCACACTTGCGTGTGGCTCCAACGATGACGTGTACAGCTGCCCATAGAACCTCTCAATCTCACTCAAAATCTCAGGTGTCCCGGAAACGATGCTGCCACATTCTGTCTTCAGCTTTGACAGTTGGCTCTTTCTGGCAGACAGATCTCTGGCAAAGACTTTGGAGCCTTGGTTCCGCTCGATCGCTTCTTCAATACGAGCTGTATTGAAGTTGCGTAAGTCCCGCCGCATGCATTTGGAGATCTGTCTGTTCAGATGCCTGTATGCTGTCAAGTCTGTTGAAGAATGTAGCTTCATCTCCCGTCTAACGGCCATGAGATTAAGAGTGTGATCGGAGAGTTTTTGTGTTCTTCTGCGGCGGGTCTTGCAGAACTTAGCTCCGACCGCATGGACAGTTTCCACGAGCTTGTCATTCATATCGTCCACTTCATTGCAGTCTTCTAGGCACTGAAAACGGTTTTGTAACTCGAGCTGAAAGGTTTCGGGACTTTGGAACAGAGCACGAGGGGGACGGAGCGTTGACTTCATTAGACGAGACCTCCCCAACTTAACGTTTAGGTTCAGTGTGCCTCTAACCATTCGGTGATCGCTACCAGTTTTCACCCTCGCGATCACGGAGACATCACTGAACAGTTGTCGTCTGGTCGTCATAATGAAGTCAATCTCATTTTTTGTCGAACCGTCGGGGCTCAACCAGGTCCATTTCCTGTGGGGCCGCTTCTGGAAGAAAGAGTTCATCATAAAGAGTCCCTCTTTCTCCATGAAGTCGGCCAGCTGCTGGCCCCTTGGGTTCCGTTGCCCTATTCCAAATTTCCCTACTTCCAGCTCACCGTTCTCTCTTGTGCCTAGTTTTGCATTGAAGTCTCCCATTAACACCGTATATTGGGTTTTGGAGGAATGCATGGCTCTAGAGATATCCTCATACATTTCCTCCACCTCCTCATCGGGGTGTGCCGAGGTTGGTGCGTAAACCTGTATGACCTACAGCGAATACCGTTTGGTGATTCTGAGTATAAGGTACGCAACCCTCGTCGACACACTCCCGATCTTTACAACGTTGTTAACGAGAGACTTGTGGACGATAAATCCGACACCTCCTTGGGACAGATGGTCGCCCTCCCGGTGATAGAGCAAGTTGCCGGATTCGAGGATTACCGTGTCCTCCCCCTCTCTTCGGACTTCGGATAGTCCTATAATATGCCAGCGCAACTTGTCTATCTCTTCTTCCAGCTCCACGATCTTCTCGTCAGTCCTCAGGGTGCGTGCGTTGTACATTGCCAGGTCGAGTCGTCTAAGGTGGCAACCGAACCTCCACCGGAGATTCTTAGCACCCCCTGCCCCGCCGTTACCATGGTCGCCACCGTAGCCAGGAATAGCGGGGCCGCCGGGGACTGGGGGCCGTCTCTTTGTTACATTCATAGGGGGTATTTGCCATAGTTGCCACGCTTGGCGAGCGGGTTGGCAACCGCAGTTTTTTTTATTGTAATTTTGGCTATTATCAGGAAGATGCTGCTGCCCATCTCCTGCCTGTTTCCCTTTGTCGCCTTTTACGACACCCACGGGAGGATATGGGGTAGTGGATATTCTTGACCGCCACTACACGGCATACACATATAAAAGCAGCACTTAAAATTACAATTAACAATTTCATTGGTTTTGTCTGTGTGTGTGACCTAGATAGGTCACATACACATGTGATCTATCTTGATTTGCTCGCTTATCATGAAATTTTAAAGCGTGTGCTTATTCTGTTAACCGCCTAGGTTTTGTTAGGGCAAAAGTCCTCATACACCGATAACATCTCTTCCAAAATAGCTTACAGTAGATTTTCTTGTTTTGTAAGCACCTATTATATATACGACCTTTGATTATAACGGATCGTGATGTCGAAGTGGCAATGAGCCAGTCACATGGCTCGAAGAACGAGCAAACGACGGGGAAATAAGTTGGCAAACAAGTTGGGGAAACAAACAACTGATGTTAAGTGGTTGCTGTAGCCCATAGACATCTACATCTATCCCCGATTACAAACCAAAATGCAGATGCGTTGTCACCCGTGAGGACTAAGATGGAATGCCTCTTTTCCAGTAAAAAGGGTATCCGGTCTCTACACTCATTATACGAAACACAGCAATATTATGCTGCTATTTTACGCTGGTATTCTGTGAGAGCGTGGTCCTTCCCCGGTCGAGCCGACCCATTCATGCTACAACTATACCAGTAATATAGCTGCAGCATGGCTCTACCACGTAAAAAGGCAGCCTAGTGCCGGTAAGCGAAGTTTATGATGGCTCTGGTAAGAGATGCAAGAACTCGATGAATGCAGGTGGCTCAGGACCACACTCTATGAGATTCCTTGGGGAAGTCCTATGTTTAGCAGTGTAATTGTAATGAGCTACAACCATGATGATGATTGTGAAGCACTTATTAGAGCCATGATGAATCAGCGGCTAAGCGCTTACCGTAAATTTCACAATAACCGCCGAACTCCGGTTCAATCAGCACAGTCTAATTTGTAAGCTTTTGTTAATGTTATACATTAAAGTTTAGTTTTCGTTGTCAGCGGTTGTCACATTTTCTCTAATATTGTATGATGTGGATGTAGGTAAATATATCAGAGGAATAAAAGAAATATTTTTCATATGTTAAATATTATATAATAAATATTTTCACATATTCTCTTCTAAACATAATTTTTTTACGTACGTATTTGTCATTCTTATTTCTGAACAATTGTTACTTACCAAATCCATATTTGGTCCTTATTTGTATTTGTATTTTTTTTTTCATTAATTGTGGCATTGGTTACTAGACCTTCTGCCAAAAATAATACTACGGACGCTGTAATACTCTCACAACTTATAAATATATTAATTTCCTCAGATAATGATGATGCGCGATGATATTACGATGTTTTTGCGAAATTTTGACGGCAGCCAGCAGGCAGTTCACGATACTGTCTATGCCAAGTTCTCAAGGCACCTATATAAGTAGACAAATATCTTGAGGTTTATATCACCATCGGATCACTTGTTTTATTAATAAATATTTAGTGTCTATTAATATTATTATGTATACATAATTATTTATTTCTTGCCATCACTGTAGTATTAATGAAATAGAGACGTACTTATCGACTTTCAAATAAGAATGTATTAAAAAAAATAATGTTTTTGTTTTTACAAAAATAAAATATTTAGTGTGTAACATTTTAAGTATTTTTTTTTTGTATTGTATACAAATAATTTTGATTTTCAGCCAAATTATATTGACATTTCAAAAAAATATATTTTTTAACGACAACAAATATTAAAAATGTTCTATTACAGGGTTAACATTATTACAGCTACTTAAAAGTATTATGCGTTACTTGAAAAAACGCCACGATATTTCCTAAATCTGTGCGTGATTATAACCTGTAAGATCAGCATCCTCATATTTCTCTACTATTTCTGAAAAAGCATTGTTATTTAATCTCTAAATTTCTAAAATACTATTTTAACAACATTGTAATAAATATTAATGCGGTCCAAGTAAACAATAATAACAAGCAATGTATTTTTGAAATAGTATAACGAATTTCATTAATTTTGTAATATTTTATAAATAATTCATTTTAATTGCATTTTTAGGTTCAAAACTAATTATATTTTGAATTATCATAATTGTCAAGTATTTGATAATTAATATATTTTGAATGATAAATAGTTATGGGTCTATCAACCATTTTTGTGTGTAGAAAGTTTGGCTTCATACATTTGCTTATTCATTAAAATAAATAATAAATGTAGTTAACAGAATCCTTTAAATTATTTTTTAAATACTTTATAGTTTTTGAAAATCCAAACTGCTGTTAGTTTCGATATGAAGATTATAAACTATTAAAAACAATAAGACGGTATTTAAATTATATAACACGTTATTACCCGAATATTCTAATGTATTTAAATATCCAAATATAATTAAAAATATTCAGCAAATAGTAAAAGTGGCCTACTAAGCTCCTATTATCTGTTTCCTAAATATACCTACTCGTTTTGTTTAATTTTTCATAAAAAGACCTATAATTTTTATAAGTATAAAATAAGCATTCATAGCTACACGTGCTGATTAAATAGTCTTATAAATAATATACAATGATACTATTGCTTAAAAGACTTGATGAATAGCTTTATTATTAAATAAATTAGTTATATTTAATATTATGAGTCAATATTCTTTCTCTTACAACAGCGTATTAAGAAAATCGCGAATTATATTCGCTATCGCATCAAAGCGATAATGTATCATTGATTGACGTGATGAATATACTCGTTATTGTCTACCCTTAATTTTTTTTTACTTTTTATCGTATACGTCGGTCAACTCGAATTTCCAGATTTTATTCGGTCCAATCTCCGTAACGTACAAGTGAGATCCATTTCTCGTTACAGCCAGAGAATGCGGACTGGTAAAACCCTGAAAAAATACATTATTACAATAACAGAAGCATTAACGTAATTGAGATTTAGAAGCACGAAGAAGTAAATAACACTTAAAACTTAAACAGGCTGCTATAGTGAATCTATTTATCTATTTTATCTTTATATAAAAATTACGTGTCACATTGTTTGCCCGCGATGAACTCCTAAACTACTAAACTGATTGCAATGAAATTTTGCACACTGTGTGCAATTTGGTTCAACTTGAGAAGTAGGATAGTTTTTATCCCTATAAGTGACCCTCAATATTTTATATTACGAATTTAAGAATTTTTTATATGAAGGGTCGTCGAAAAGGGCAGAACAACGTCTGCCTGGTCAGCTAGTATACTTATAGAATAAAAAATTATAGAAAAGCAATTCATAAAATTAATATTGCCCTTAACAACTCCGAGTGAGATTAAAATTCTTGTTAGGATTGGACAGTAGTCAAACAAAGTTATAAAAAAAAAACAGCGGATTCGAAAAAAATAAAATAATGTAAACTAACTGCTTTAGAAAATAATAAGTGTAGAGTCAATAGTAAAATAAAATTTATTTAAATAAACAACACACTGATTATTTTTAATAAAAGATTTTCCACCTGCCAAATATATAATAATGAGGTAACCGCATCCATCCACATCATCATAATCATCATCATTACAGCTCTTCACATGTCCACCTCTGAACATGGGCCTCTCCAAACCAATGCCACAAAATGAACTCCTGAGCCACCTGTATCCATCGACTCCCTGCATCTGTTAACAGGTAGTCACTCCATCTAGTAGGAGGCCGTCCAACATTTCGCTCACCGGTACGAAGCTGCCACTAGAAACTTTTCTCTCCATCGGTTATCGATTCTTCGAGTTACAAGTATATAGCCGGCTCATTGACACTTAAGCTTACTGATCCGTGATACACATATATGTAGGTATATAATACATAATTAAAAGTAAGAAAAAATCGTCAGTTGTAGACTTACGGTGGTAGGCTCCCAAGTGTCCAAAATATTACCATATACAGCGTTGACTGTGAAACCTCTAACTGCTATATTCTGTGACGTTGGACCATTGACTGCATAAATAATATCTCCATGGGATGCGACAGCGAACACTCTTCCTAGCGTAGGGTCTTCGATAATTGTCGCGGGTTCCATAATATCTATATAACTCTTTAGTCCCGCCTTTGGGCACACAATCCTCATATTCTCCCTGTCAGCCACGCATACGATGTCCAAATGCTCTAATAACGTAACGCTGTGAGGAAGGTTTAATGTGAGCGTGTCTGAGAACGAAGGGATTGCACGTAACAAGGTGCCGGCAGCGTTGAATTTTAAGATTTGATTGTTACAGTAACCGTCAGCCACAAATATTTCGCCTGTAGTCGCTATTGCCACGGAGGTTGGCATGCATAGCAAGACACGCCTTCTGTACGGATAACCCGCTGTAAAAGCCTCCCCGATTGTCAAGCTGGGATATTTATGATTACTGGGGGTGTACTGAAATGAAATCTTGAGTTGTATTAAAGTAAATATAATGTAGCACCGTGTAGTGTAGCGGCGGAAGAGGATCCACTATACTCCATATCACGCCGTGGGTGTGCTGACTTTTTCTATAGCATAATATTTAATATTTATATGTAAAAGCAACACAACATAATATGCATGATGATATAGAGATCGTCTAATTTAAAACCGCACGCACATTCCTCCTATATTTTTTTGGTTTATTTTTGTTGTATGTTATTATGTCAGATATAGTAAACATACTAAAATCTATTGAACACAATAAAAAGGACGCACAGGTTTAGATTTTATGATATTTATAATGGTAAATGTGATAAAATTTACCAAAATATAAGGCAGGAGTGTGTGATTTTAAATTAGATCTCTACCCACACGCAAAGCAAGTTTCGTAATCATAAAATATTACTGAACCAACTGAATTTAATTTAAAAAAATGCAAAAGTAATATTTTATATATATTTCGTTTTTCAATTTTTATGGATTTTCAAAAATGACTTTTTAGTCGATCGAATTGCTAATTAAGTAATATGTTCATCCCATCCCCTTACTGTATGGTTCAATATTTACTAAACCCTTACTTATAACCAAGGGGTTATATATAAATATAATTATTTTCATAAATATTGGACCATACAGTCTAAAAATAGTCGTTTACGATTATAATATTATATAGAAAGACAATTTTGTTCTATATAATATTATAATCGCTAAAGAGCTAGTAGAAGCGTTGTAATCCCCGTGAACCAAAATGGAATGCCTCATAGTCTCTAATCCTGCCTTCAAACCAGAACACGGCACCCTTGCTATGTACATACGAGAATGCTTCGCGGCCAAAATTTTCAAGATGATTATATCCAATATTTTCTTCTCGAGTCTCCTCGGACTCCTCGCTAAAAATACCTACCATTTTGGTAGTGCTTACCAGTGTAGTGCTTACCACTAGGAGGATGTTATAACAAGACACACAGTAAGAAATCAAATGTTCTGTTTTCAAAATACATATGGAATACAGGAAATAAAGAAATATGTTTAAGAGAACTATATTATCACTATCTTCATATTGACAATATGCAACAAATTATTGAAATTTATTTGAGAATTTTTCTCTTTACATTAATTATTACAAAATCACATATAAGAGTCACTTACTTTAAAAACCTGGTGTTTTGCGACATCGGTAACCCAGATGTTGTCATGATGATCAACAGTGAGACCATGCGGCATATAAAAGGCATACGCGCCCCAACTGTGTAACACAGATCCCGTGTGAGGATCGAGCACTAGGATTGTGTCCTCTATGATTGGCCCTTTATCCAAGTTTTGATAAACGTTAGACTCGTTAAATGTGCTGAAATTCAATTTATAGTTAGGTAGTGTATCGTTCAGTTATATAATGAATTTCTCTATTATTTGATTACCTTTCGTCCCATACTCTTTCAGCTCTATGAAATATAACGGGCTGTCCTAAAGAATTTATGGAGACTGCAGTAATTTGCCCTACGTTTAACGACTGTTGAGGCCAATCTTTTACTTCTTGAGGCCTCAATACTATCTCATCTTTGGGCTGCAATTTAATTTGTACACAATAATATTTTGTTAAAATAAGTTTTTAATTGTACACAAGAAGTTTTTATTAATTGATGAAATACTAATTAACAACACTTACGATATGAATATCCGGATTCTTCAACACATCTTCATTGTTACCGTAACTGAGGTAATCGACATTATCTCTCACCGTTTCCGGTTCGCAATAGATGTTGGACACATAAAAAAATAAAAATATCACCAGCTTTACGTTGAGCATTTTGTGTATGGTTTGTTAGTTTCGTCTTTTCTAGCTGGATTACGTTTGCTGTGCTCCTAAGGGTATTGATTGTTGGCGCTTGGTATACGTCAGCAACTGGTAACACGCATGCGCATTAACCATTTGATTTTTTTTTTTGTTATGAACTAATCAAACCTTCCTATTTCAAGGTCAATATTAGTGAATTGATGAAAATGAAAACGCAATCTTTAAATATTTTTTTTTTAATTTGGCATACCAACAAATTACAACAAAATTGGTCAATATTTTTTGATTTAAAATATCACGACGACATCAAATTTGAGACGAACGAATAATGGCAATGTCCTTGGCTTAAATACGAAAAGACAAGGCGACTTTTTTTTTAAAATAATTCAGTCTCAGAATCGTTGTTAATATAATTCATATCTAAACATAAGTATACTTTTTCACATATTAAGGGCGTAAAATTACATAGTGATACTTCAGCTTTGCTAGATTATTGACCGCGCCATTGTGAATTGGGTTGGTCCCAGATGTATCCAGTCTCTGTCATAGAACATACAGCGTTGTAATATTTGCCAGGACTTCGACAGTAAGACCAAGCGGGGCACTTACATCGGAATAGTGTTTGGAACTCTTCCTTGCACACTTCGTTCCACCAACATGTTCTCTGCAACATTGGTTATATTTTATGCGCTGCAATGTAGTTTGTGATATAACTGGATTCTTTTATGTCAATGTGTAGCTCTCGTGTAAATATAAAAATATAAGAAATCATTAAGTATTTGTAACATGCATATAATATTTATTTATTTATTTATTTACTCTTTATTGTACACTAAAAAACAAAACAAAAACGAATACAATTAAATCTAAATTAGAAAATGTACAACAGGCGGTCTTATCACTTTGAAAGTGATTGTGATAAGTAAACATACTCGTAAATAATTTGTATTTATATGACCCTATTTTATTAGTTTACATATAATTACTAATCATAGGTTAACTAAACCTTAGAGTAGTACAAAATGTCACGGAATAATAAAAAAACGTACCTACCTCAGTTATATATCCTCGAACAGATTGATCTGAATAACTCCTTTTTGTTATTGTAGCTGATTCCAGCATTATATTCATCATAAATAAGTATGCGATCATTACATGTTGCGGCTGAAATAACACGAATATCACGAATATTTTTATTAATAAATCACAAACGAGTGTAACGCACAAACACTGCACACATCATACCTTAATCATATCAGAGATTTGATCTTAAAATAGAAGATTGTTGTCAGGTTGAAACCTTCCTAATTCACGCCCCTGTCCGTCAGGGGCTTTTCAAGTTCCGATGTGTGGGTGAGGCTGTACTTAACTAAACATACGCAGGTCTGTAACTTAGCTAACTTCAACCTTTTTCCTAGATTTTTCTTATATTGTAATGTTAAAGTGATTCTGTGGTTTGTATTTTGTTTATTTATTTACAATTATAATATAATGACTTATTTTTGGTGCATTATAGAATTTATATTTAATCGAGTTTTAGAACCAATTTTGTATTTTTAATATTTTATTTTATAAAAATGATTATATATAAACATACACATAATATGAGCAGTAATTTGTGATATTTTATGTGCCTATAATTTTAAATATCCACTTGAAGTTTCAAGATAGGACGCACTCTTCACAGAATGCGCGCGCAGGTGGAAAGGTGATATTCTAACATACAAATACATACATATTTTACTTAATCTCAAGTTATTGATATCCTAGTGTAAGATAAGATATTTATTATATAGTTATTTCAGGATAAGGGTGACAAAAGAGCACCTATTCTATAAAAAAGTTTTACGTGTAAAGTTCAAATGTTAACAGACAAAATATCTAAAAAATTCAATGCACTCCACATCATTTACTATTTGATTATACTCGTAGTATTCATTCATTCATTACAGTCTATCAATTTTCACAGCTAAACATAGGCCTCCCCAATCCTATTTTTACGTGGTAGAGCCATGCTGCAGCTATATTAGTAGTATAGTTCTAGCACGAATGGGTAGGCTCGACCGGGGAAGGATCACGCTCTCACAGAAAACCAGCGTAAAATAGCAGCTTAACGCTGCTGTGTTTCGTATGGTGAGTGTAGAGAACCGGAGACCCTTTTTACTGACAAAGAGGCATTCCATCTTAGTCTTCACTTGTGACAACGCATCTGCATCTTGAGTCTTTATTGAGGATAGATGTAGATGTCTATGGGTCACAGTAACCACTTCCCATCAGGTGGACTGTGTGCTCATTTGTCACCCTATCCTATAAAAAAATCCATTTGATTGCCATATAAAGGGGATATTGGCCATAGTTGACACGCTTGGCCGACGGACATATTTATAACTAGCTTTTTACCCGCGGCATCGCTCGCGTGCGCTTGAATTTAGGGACATCATTAAATGCTGTTCCGTGTCAAATTTAGAAATATTCGATCACTTTTAGAGTCACCTTGGTGTCTATGTCTCTATGTCTGTCAGAGATTTTTTTCATTCTAAAATACTATTAGACGTAGATGATTGGTAACATGCTACAGAAACACGTGAATATACTTATGGTCCCCACTCACGGTCAGTTCAACTGATCATTCCAACTGATCAGTTCAAACTAGGGCTGTTGATATTTTTAAAATATCGGATTTTCAATGTATCGATAATTATAAATATATCAATATCGGAGTTTTATATATGGGAAACATAAGCAATATATTGATGCTTATTGCTTAAAAATGATTCACACAGATTATAATTTAGTATATTTATTAAACAAATTAAATTATAAATGTATGAAAATGTTAGGTTATAGTTCTTAGTAATTATTTTACTAAGAATAAGAACTATAACCTAATTATTAAAGAACCATGGTAGCTCAGATGGTTAGCGCTCGCTGTAAATTTCACAGTACACGAGCAACCCGGGTTCGATCCCCGCCGGTACCAATGAAATTGTTAGCAATTTTAAGTGCTGATTTACCACGTGCTCGGCGATGAAGGAATACATCGTAAGGAAACCTGCATGTCTGAGAAATAAAATAAAAATTTCAGAAAACGCCAACATGCATTGGGGCAGCGCGGCGGACTTTGTCCTAAAACCCTCTCAGAAGTTAGGAGAGGCCTGCCCAGCTGAGGAGTGCCTAGCAATTACGACGTATATAGGCTGTAACTTTAACTTGAAGTATTGTTTAATTTAAATAAGACTTATTTTTACCAATTAAATTAAAATTAAAATAAATTATGTTTACCAATATTTGACAGTAAGAGTTTTCAAAAATACTTGTTGTTTTATATGTTCAGCTGTTTCAATACTCCAATTATTGGGCACTAAAAGATTGATTGTAGAAGTAATTTGTTCAGATGCTTTGGATGAAGAAGCTGAAGAAATCAAGTATTTAACAGCTATTTCTGATAGCACGGAAGTAAATCATAAGACGCCTAAGCGATTAAAATAGCTTGAGGCTTATACCAACATCGAAGCACTTATTTCTTCGTTTTCTCTAATAGCTCACATGCGCATACACTTAATACACATAATCGCATCACTTTGATAAAAATCCACATCAAACGATTATTTAAACGATAAAACAGGAGCAACCAACAGTGGTAGAGCTACGCGGCATCTTTTGCTGTCACACGGATGGGCCGGCTCGAACCGGGGTGGTGGTGGTGCGTTTCGCTTGGTGAGTGCATGTGGCCGGAGGCCCTTTTTACTGGAAATGAGGCATTCCATCTTAGTCCTCACGGGTGACAACGCATCTGCATTTTGATTCGCAATCGAGGATAGATGTAGATGTCTATGGGCCGCAGTAACCACTTACCATCAGGTGGACTGTGTGCTCGTTTGTCACCCTTATCCTATAAAAAAAACCATCCGTCAATGGTCAAGCTCCTGCCAAAACTCACAGTAAGTAAAGTAGTACTAAGTTTTATAAATTATAGTGATTTTAATATCACAGAGATATACTTTACAAAATTACATTTCTTTTTAAGATAATAAGCAAATAAATGAACTGGGGAAAACTTAAAAACATAATGTAGTGTAAATAAAGTATAGTAGATTGGGTCCATCAAGAATTAAGATTTAAGTTTACGATGGTGTTGTAGATTAAATGATTTACGTGAAAAAATAAAAAAATAAATTATTTAATAAAATATATCGACTGTCGTATATCTATATTTCAATATCAAACTTATATTTCAATATATGTCATCAAAAATATTAGAAATAAATATCGGTATTTCTAAATAATAAAATAGATTTTTCGATATATCGATATTTTATTAACAGTCCTAGTTCAAACGTGGGGCGTGGCTGTGGGCGTTTGGTTTGCGTGACTCCTATAAAATATCATATATATAGATAAATTAAATGATATTTAATAATACTTATATCTTATTTAATAGCATTTCCTGTCTATTAATATATATCTATACAAATAAATAAAATTGAAGTGTCTATATGTAATGTCAAAATAACAGTTTTTTACTAAATGCATTTGAAAGTACATACGGTACTTATAACAGAAACACAATTTTTATAATCTTTGTCTATCTTTCTTACTATCTGTCTGTCTGTCTGTTTGTTCCGGCTAATCTCCGAATCGGCTGAACCGATTTTGACGAGACTTTCAGTGGCAGATAACTGATATTATATGGAGGAACTTAGGCTAATTTTAATTTAGAAAAATAATTAGGGTCCCGTGCAAAAAATTATAACCCATGAAATCCAATCGTAATAGTATACAATACAATATAATAATAATTACACGCGGGCAAAGTCGCGGGGACCAGCTAGTTAATAGATAGGAAATGATATTTTTAATTTATAGGAGTCACGCCAACTAAACGCGCACGGCTGCGGCTTCATCGATCGAGAAATGAAATCCGTTCCGTATATAGTATATATGTATATAAATGACGTTTCCTATATATTAACACTTCAACAGATATTTTTATTCATGATAAGGTCAGTATTAAGACACTTTTAAGAAATGGGTCAGATATTATGATAATTTTACTCATTATGGTAAATTTTATTTATTTGATAAATGTGTTATTTATTTTTATGTGTTTATTAAATTAAAGATACTAACTTGCACTCCGGTTACGGTGAACCCAAAAAAATCCGTGGGCATGGGCACATTCTGAAGGTCTTATGATGACCAGATAATGCTTATCGGTTTTTAGTAACGGAAATAGTTAGGATGGCCTAGTTTTCTGTGTTTATCTAATTGAGCTCTCGACGTGTAACAAACTAAAATAAAGTTGAAGCACCCAAACGTCACGAATTAAAATAAGTTAAACAAAGTAAAATCCGTAAAGTTTGTTATTAAATGTGTAGTATTCGTGTAATAAATCAGTCAAAAATCATTGAATTCTAAATACTGCACACAGGTAGCTTGGTCATTTACAGGAATTGGTGTTAATGGTGCTTGTAGGTTTTCTTGAAATACTTGGTTATACTTTTTCCGTTCTGCCTTTTTTTTTATTGCCTTTAAAATATATGGTCGATTTATAATTTTGTACCTAATTAGGAGTTTTGCTGCTTTTTAATTGCATGAAAACATTATAAAGTGAGTAATAATACTGTTTGTACTATTTGTTATATTTATATATAACAATAAGGCCAAACACGATGGTGTTTCGTAGTGGCATAACTGAGATCTTTTACCCCACCTTCTTTGTTCACCATCATGAAGGTAATATAATCACATTAAACTAGGTCTTTATAAACCCTTTCAAATGAGTTCAAACACGATCGTTCTACCTAGTGCCGCCACTGAGATCCTATACCCACCTTCGAATTGCACCATCAGAAAGGTGAGGTCATAACAGTCAACTAAGTCTTTATGAGCCCTTTCAAATGAGTTCAAACACGACCGTTCTATCTAGTACCGCCACTGAGATCCTATATCCACCTTTCGGATTACACCATCAGAAAGGTGAGGTCATAACAGTCACCTAGGTCTTTATGAGCCCTTTCAAATGAGTTCAAACACGATCGTTCTATCTAGTGCCGCCACTGAGATCCTATATCCACCTTCGGATTGCACCATCAGAAAGGTAGGATCATAACAGTCACCTAAATCTTTAGGAGCCCTTTCAAATGAGTTCAAACACGACCGTTCTATCTAGTGCCGCCACTGAGATCCTATATCCACCTTCGGATTGCACCATCAGAAAGGTGAGG